GCTAAGTGTTTCTGCGGGCTAGAGAGTCTGCTGTCCCGATAGATCCTAGTGTTTGGCAAGGACTATCAGAGAACTAATATTGTACTTCTCAAGCCTAAAGAAAGAGTGATAAAAATGCCTGTGGACATGCATACACAAATGTAAGAGAACTTGCCATTGTCATTTTAAATGTAATGGTTGTTACTTTCTTGGGGCAGGAACCATGTTTTTCTTCTTTTTTTGCAGTGCCTCGTACTTGGGCCATTCTGTTACTTAGGTCTCCCCGTTTAGGATTAGTATAAGGCAGCCTTTTCTGCAGTAGTGGTAAATAATCTGCATAGCATTCCTGTTTAGAAAGTAAACCAGATCTCTGTTCAAGCAAATTTGACAGAGAAAAAAGTAATGTTCTGCTCCTAGTCTGGAATTTCATATGCTTATAAAGCTTGAAGGAGTGATTATGTTTGTTGAGTTTATTCTGGATAAATTTAAAGACTTGTCAGCATCCATTCCTGTTTGAACTAATGCAAAGCCCTTAAGATAAAATCTACCACCATCTTGACTGAACGTTTTCCAATTAACAGAACCTTATTTCAGTGCTTAAATACCTTCACTGTTAAAATTTCACACATTATTTCTAAACTCATTTAGCTTCTGTTTCCAGCTTTTGAATCTTGTTGTATATTTTCTGAAATAAAGTGCCTTTTATTATGCGTACTATTCTGTTGCCTATAGGTATTCATAGGGCTAGACTGACTTGATTCATCCCTGCACATTTCTTTTGTTAAGTTAAGTAGATTGAGTTTCTTGAGTCTGGTTTTTCTATTCTTTAATCAAGATTGTAATATTTCCTTGCTCATTTCATCTTATTGTTCATTATCTTTCTTGAACAGCAAATATTGTCGTTCGTATTCCCCCAGCTTTCCCACGTTAGTCATACTGATGCCAAAGAGAGGGGTGCCCTTTCTTTTCCAGCTCCTTCTGTCCTATTTACACATCTGTTTGGTATTGCCAGGAGTAAGACGATAACAGGCTGGCCCAGGTTCTCCTGGGAACGCCTGAACCCTTTAATCTCCAGCAGCACAGCCGACAGCGACTACTATTCGGAAAAGGAGTCAGTTATTCATTCCTTACTCTTCATGTAAAGCAGCTTGCCCAAGTCCAGTGCCACGTGTGAACACTAAACTGCTTGAGAACAGCCCCTGCTGCTCTGCCTGCTGAGGAATCGGAGCCTTCGGTTGTGCCCCACCTGCAGAGGCTGTCATTGCACTACCTTGGGGTTGCCGTTCTTGCGGGGTCACGTACAGTGGTCCAGAGACAAGATGTAGGCAAGGCATAAGGTTATCGACATGATTTATGCCACAGAAAATTCCTAAGGAGCTTAGAGCTAATAATGACAAGTCTTACAAAAGCAGGTAGGTAGGGAGAGAAAGCAAAGAGTAGGAGTCACAAAATGGAACATTCTCCAAAAGATGTCTTCTAGCACATGGAAAAATTACCTCTGTCCCAGAACAACGTCTTTAGTTTCTCCCTAGCTATCATGACTGGGGTGAGGTCTATTTTAGAGGCACAATAGAAAAGCATAATTCTGTGCCCCACGATGCTTTTCTTTGGGCATCATTACTAGCCTGACACAGAGCTCGTTCCCAGAAAGAAGCTGTAGATGAGAAGTTTGACACATGTCTCATTTCTCCTCCAGGAACTGATGTGAAAAAGAGTGTGTTAGCTATTGAATAATCTGTGCAGGAATCCTGGATACGTTAGACGGGATCAAATATATGACCTCCTCAATCCCTGCATGCATCAAGGGTGATGAATTTTATTTTAATTATGTAGCTTGATGCAAGGTGCTGGCAGGGACTGGTTTCTCTCTGGCAGAAACATTCTGCTGAGCATTTAATGGACTTGTGATGTAAGCATCAGTCTGATACCTCAGAGTGGCTTGTAGACAGAGTCAAACACAAAAAGAAACTTCTCTGTGGAAGTCTGGATTCCTCAATACATATCAGGGTCACAAAATGGAACAAGGCTTATCTACCACAATGCTGAGGGTGTTCTTCAGTAATTCTTAAGTAATAAAATGCATGGCATGGGGAATAGCCCTCTTTCTCTGAGCCCTGGAAATAATCTCTCTGCAGCCAAAGTGAACATATATCGAACTAAAGATTGAGGGAGAGGAGTGCTTTGATGGGCTTGTTACGCATACAAGAGATTTCAAGTGTTTGGGGTTTGTGACATCCAGCAGTAAAAAAGGTAGTAGAAATGAACAGAATTACATCTTAATTTAAAAAAGCGGGGAGGGGACCTCCAAGGACAAAGGCAAACATACTGATCCTCTTCAGCAACCCAAGTAAACATCAGTAACCAGCTCTGTCAGCTGCACAGGCCTTTGCTGAGTGCCCAGCCCAGTAGCGAGAAGCAGATTAGATGACAGTTGAGACTAACAAGCTGCTTTTGAGTGGTTTGGTACAGCTAATAGATGCTGAACTGTATGATCCAACAGCTAAATGCTGTGCCTGCAGATCAGCAGCTTGGGAGGAAGCATTCTGAACAAACCAAAGGGAATAAAAGGTAGTTTGTGTTCAGGGCATGACAGTAAGAGAGCTGGGAAGCCCCAGCTGGCAGCATTTGATGCTGTGCATGTTGGTTTTTGTGACCATCAAAGCCTTTGACGTGATGAACTGATACATTCATCCACACCCTGCTTCTAAGAAAGCATGCAGCATTTTGCAATCAGGAGCACTTTCCCCAAGTTTATGGGCAACCGCATATATTTTCTAGGTCTTCAACACCTCCTCTTATCTGCTGTCCTTCTGTTTCTCTACTGGAAGAGGCAGGGTAGTTTTTTTCCATTCCATAGCTGCAAAAACGTGTTGGAGGTTGTTGTGGTGGAGCAGGCAGCTACTGCAGCCAGGACAGTGTCAACAGAGTGACAGTCTGCTCATCTTTCCAATCCACCTCCTCGGGAGACTCTTTGGATTAGGTTGTCTGTATCTAAGCCACAACGCTCCCAGCTTCCTAGAATGTTAACTGATCGGTTCAGAGATCTCTGAATTAGATGTGAGAAGCTTTCCTCTTTTCAGTCTTGTTTCTCTGATTTAGTTCTGGATAGCTGAGCCTTATATGAGGAGGAAGAAGGAGTTTTCGTCCTTCCTTCTTCTGTTCCCCAGATGCTGAACCATAATCCAATTTCTGTTCGTTTGTGCTGTCGTCTCCTATCAGAGGAGGAAGTAATAATGAAGTAAGAATACACAGCAAGAAGTCAAATGAACAGTAAAAGCCACTTGCCCCTGCTGTGGAGAAAAACAGAGCCCGAGACCTTGTCTCTGAGAGGGTCGAAGACGCCAGACTACACCATCCTGCTATTTAAAAGCTGCCTGTGATGTCTGCAACAGATAATAGTATCTGTAAGATTCAAGTCTTATTTGGTTGTGACATTTGGTATGGGGTTTTAGATTTTTGTCTCAGTGACTGTTCCCCCTTTAGACACGTATCAGAATATCACTGAGCAAATGAGGGTACAGGCAGGTTGCAGACTACAAATGATTCATGGGATATGAAGAGTTTCTTTCAGCAGGAGGATGGTCAAGTCTTGCTAGCCTAACGTGGAATTAAGTTGTCAGAGGAAGCTGTAACTAATCAGTAGAATGGGCAGTTTTGGAGCTGCCTGATTCTTGAGATCATCTTACCCTAGTAGGGTTTCATGCCCTGATTCCAGAGGGCTTGCTCTAGACTGCCAGATGTTCCTTGACTATTGTAAATTTGGTTTGTATTACCTATGTACCGCTTTTTTTTTTTTCCAAATTTCAAAATCATCCAAGTTTGTGGGTTTCAGATAGCAGCAAGAAGTTCAGTCAAACCGTATACTAGAACCTATGTGAACTTACATCTCTTGCCTGCGCGTTGGATTTCTCTGCTTATTGCCTGGCTGCTGCCTTAAAAAACCACTTGAGTTTTTGTTTGTACAAATCTTATGCTCGTGGCTGACCTGCGGAGGTGCCTGCTAGCACTGCTCCCTCCAACATGCCTCCTTCGAGGGAGTAGGTGGGAGGGAAGGTGGTTGATGAAATGTGGGGCTTAGCACATCTCTCTCCTTTGAGAACTAGTAGTTCTCATTTCCAGGATAACCCGCACCACTATCTTGTTTCAAAACATCCCTTTGCAGAAGTTAGCAGACCTCCCCAGTTCTGTGGTGTTTAGAGCAAGGCCCGGGGAGAAGGAACCGTTTAGAAAATCTGGCTCCTCATGTGGTTTCCTGAACTGAGAGTCCCAGTTTTACTGCATGCCTCACTCACATCTCTCAGTCCTGTGAGATGGCAGTCCATCTATACTAAGGGCTGCGCTTTGGTCTCTTTTGTGCTGGTGGAAGGTGACCTCAGGGGGTAGGACTCATGAGGTACTGTGCATATGAGCATTTGCTTGGGAGCAGGAATACACTGGGAAACTGGGAGCTCCTTTGCAAGAGCCCTGCTATGAATAAAGTCCGTTGAGCCAATCAGCTAGTTGAGTTGGGTTCATTTTCTGCACGTAAGGCAGAATTCAGCACTTAGGCCCTGCAAACGTTTCCCTGTGTTTGGCGTCCCAGCAGGGCAAGCCTTCCTGCAGAGTCCAGGCTTCATTTCTAGACACGATGCTTGTCCTTGCGCCCCGCTGGCCGTGCCAGAGTCACTCTGTAGACCCTTCTCCCTTGGGAGGGGAAGGAGAAGTGGTGGAGGGGAACAGGAGCCCTTTACAGTTTCAGTTGGGTATGCTTCGGCAGAAACATTTTCTATAGTTTGCTTTCCAGGCTGTAGCCCAGTAGAGATGTGAGAAGTCCCACTGAATCTATCTTTTCAGGCAAATTGTATTATGTGACTCTAGGATAAAGTACCTGGTTGTAACACAAGGCTGCTAGCGAGAAAGCATGATTCATGTAAATTTCCATGTTTACCCACCTAAGCATAGCCAGAGTTGAGTCATAGTCAGCCACAGTTCACCTTCTTTTAACTATAATGCCTTCTTTTCTTCTCTTTTGGTCTCTAAAGCCAGCACTAGCCCCACATCAGGCCTTGGGACTGCTGCCATCGTAGGCATCCTCATTGTCATCTTTGTGCTGCTCCTGGTGGCTGTGGATGTCACCTGCTACTTCCTGAACAAGTGTGGCTTGCTGATGTGCATTGCTGTCAACTTATGTGGGAAATCTGGCCCAGGAGCCAAGGGCAAAGACATGGAGGAGGGCAAAGCCGCCTTCTCGTGAGTACTGTCATTGCTTCCTTCCTCTCAGTCCTTCTGTGTCCCTTCAGCCTGGAGTGGTCCCATGGTACCCTTTTGCCACTCCTAATCCAGAAGAGGTTGAACCTGCGGTCCATCCTTCTCCTGGAAACTTACCCTCCTAAAGGCATCTCTCCAACTCTTGGCAGGGGAGGGGGGAAGGGACGGGGGAGAAGAACTGTATTTCAGAGAGTTCTGGTTGCCCCATCTCTGAAAAGAGAGTAGTGAAAAGGTTTGGGGCTACTCTGGTTCTGCTTTATATTTCCGGGCAGGGGTTTCTTCAGGTGTTTCTTTGTTTCTATCCCATTCCTATTAGAGGCCAGCAAATGGCTGACCCACATGCTGGATGCTGCAGTGCTCTTTTGGGCTGTAGGTAACGTATTGGAAGGGGGAGTGACAAAAAGAACTAAGCTGTTGTTCAGGCCAACCTGTTTCTGTCGAAGTTACCGTCTATTTGGAGCATGGCTTAGCTGGAGGATACCTAGTATGAACGGGAACCAATCTCCATGCAATTCCCTTGTTACAGGAAAGATGAGTCCAAGGAGCCTATTGTAGAGGTGCGGACTGAAGAGGAGCGGACCCCCAACCATGATGGAGGAAAACATACAGAGCCCAATGAGACCACACCACTAACGGAGCCAGAGTATGTTGATATTAGCCTATCATAGCACAAGGTTAATACAGCGTCCTCAGTTGCTTTAGTCCCTGATCTCTCACGTACATAATTGAGGGTAGGAAGAGAGGAGAAAAGGTAAAATCTCCACACCCAATTTCTGACATAGCAGTGAGAAAATCCCTCCTGTCGTCCCGCAAATTCAGTGACTCTTCTATTTCCAGCATTGGAAGGGAAAGAAGGAGAATGAAGGAGTGCTGCTTGGAAGGCCTCTGCCAGTTCTGTCCAGAGTGTAGATCAGTCACCCATCCTGGTTCGTTGAAAGGAGTTGAGAGCAAAAGCAGCCCCAAGCTGAAACTGACTCCTGGCCGAGCTCTTCTCTGGTGTGCCGGATGAGCGTGCGAACACCCCGTTGTGACAGCAGCTATCTGCGCTGATAGCAGCGGGGTAGCTACGCTCTGGATGCAGAGGGAGGCATGGCAAGTCTGGTTACTGAGAGGATTGAGAGCTATGTACAGGTTTTGTTTATGTCAGAGAACTTGTTCAGAGCTTGTGTCTGTGTATCTATGCTAGCTGGGATTGGCAACGTTTAAGTATTGCCCTGCGTCCACATTAAGCCCTTTTCTAACCTGTTACAGTTCTAATACCCTCTGGGTGCCTCTTCTGCAGCTTCCGAGGTAATGATGGGAAGAGCTGTTGAAATGCTGTGGGGTAGCAGCTGACAGAGAAGTTGAGCCATTTCTGTGTGTTCACATCATCTCTGGCACAAAGCTGCCTCCAGACGACCTGCATTATCTTGAGCTGGTTATGACATGAACTGGAAAAGAGCTCACACTAATCAGTATGTAGATTGTTGGAATCATTCTGTCATGTGGAAGCAAAGGTGCATTACAAAGCTTCCAAAGGGGCTGACAACATTAGTTCTTTTGTAAGTTGAACCTTTCACCACAGGTTTAACTTTCAATTCTTGAAGAAGACGTTATTGGTTTAAGGGATTGATATTTGGTTCAGGTTTGGAGTTGATGGCACAAGTTGGGGTCCTTTCTTCCTTCAGCGGAGTCATCACAGTGGTGAGGTGGTTAGACACAGCAGTAGGACTCGCTAGTAAAACAACTCTGCTGGAAGGCTCTGTGAGGTGAGAGGAGAGAGGAAGCCATGTCCGCAAGCAGCACTGAAATGCAGATGTGCAGCACTGTGGAATATTTGGATTTATATGCTCAAATTTTTCTTGGGTTGCCTTCTCAGAGTTTCAATTCAATTCTCCTCCTCTATGGAGGTTTTCCCTCATTTAATAAGCCTGAGATGGTGTTCTCAGTCACACTGGTTTCTCACTCAACCATTTCCTTTATAGCCTCGCATTCCCATGCTTGTTAAGGCAGCCAGTGCTATATCATGGCTGCTAAAGCATGGTTACACTGTCCTGTTACTGATTGTTCTAAAGTAACCCCTGTTCCAGCTAGAACAACAGACAGATATGAATCTGCTCAGAAAGGTAGAAAACATCACCTCAAAGCTGCATGTGTGTACATATAAATATATATATATATATTTATATAACGTGTGTGTCTGAGAAAGAGTTACATACTGTGTGGCTTGGTGAAGGCCTTAGACCTGCAGGTGGAAGGCAGGGGCAAGACAAGGGACTGGCTTCAGGGTCCTACATTTGGAGGACCTTGTTCTGTGGTGAGACATGGCACAGGGCTACGAGCCTGAGGAAAGAGGAGAAAGGTTCATTGTGAGGTTAGGTGGAAGAGACCGAGGAGGGAAGTTGGACTAAAAGAGAAGAGTCCTTTTACAAGTTGCCAGTTGGTGTTAAGTTTGGCCAAGACTTCCACCAAAATCTGTTTGAACAAGCCATTCCTGTAGGATGTGTCCTCTCTGCTCTTCCTACTCTTCCAGGTTGCTCTTTGATCTCCTCAGCCAGCACCTGTTACCCATTGCACATTTGACTTCTGAAGGATTTCTCCTCCCTTTCCTCCATGTTCTCTGTGTGCTGTAACCACGCGCCATGCTGCTGCTGCTGTGCCACCCACCTGCCTTCTTGCACTTATGTTCTGTTCCCCTTTCCCCTGCTGTCGTTTATGGGCTTCATTGTCTCTATTTCTCTTCTACTCCTGTCCTCTTCACAGGCACCCTGCTGATACTGCAGCTACCGTTGAGGACATGCTGCCTTCTGTAACCACGGGCACCACTAACTCTGACACTGTCACTGAAACCTTTGCCACTGCTCAGAACAGCCCCACCAGCGAGACCACTACACTGACCTCCAGTATTGCCCTGCCAACCACAGCCATTCCTGACTCAAACTCCATGTCGCCTAGCCAGCCCACTCCAGCCAAAGGGGCAGCTGCCTCAGTCTCTTCGCCACCACCTTCCTCCACCCCCAAGGTGGCTCCCCTTGTTGATCTCAGTGATACCCCAAGCTCTACTCCAACTACTAATAATTTGTCTTCAAGTGTCCTGGCCAACCAAGGTGCAGTGCTCAGCCCCAGTGCTGTTGCTAACGTGGCCGAGACCTCCAAAGTGGCACCTGGTAACAAGTCAGCTGCCCCAACCCCTGCCAACCTCGCTAGCCCTCCACCTCCATCAGAGCCCAAGCAGGAGGTCTCAAGCACCAAGAGCCCCGAAAAGGAAGCTGTGCAGCCCAGTACAGTGAAGAGCCCGACAGAGACAACCAAGAACCCAAGCAATCTGAAGAGCGAGGCTGCTTCAGGCAGCACAATCCCCTCCCAGAATGAGGACTTTAAAATGGACGAAGGGACCTTCAAGACACCAGACATTGATCTTGCAAAGGATGTTTTTGCAGCTCTTGGCACTACTACTCCTGCCAGTGTGACTAGCGGGCAAGCTCATGAGCTCGCGTCTTCCACTGCAGACAGCTCTGTACCTGCTGCACCTGCAAAGACCGAGTATGGCTGCCTTTAATCTTCTGTTGGTTGTGTGCTGTGTCTCTTGTGCACTAGTGCTTGTGCTGTGTTCTTGTTGGTTGTGCTCTTAACTAATCTCATTGTTTCCTTAGCACACTAACTCACCTGTGAACCTACTAGGAAGTGCTTGGCTTTAAAAGACCGGGAGGAATAGCAGAAATAGGTGTGTCAGGGCAGCAGAGAAAAAGCAATCCCAGGCATTTATCATTAATGTGTTATTCTTTAGATTTCTCTCTAGCTTTGTCCAATCCGAGATTCCTCTTTTATGAGAGATCAGAAACAGTTCAGTTTGGTGCAGAGAAAGTGCTGTTCTCAGAGGCACTGAGTTCCTGCAGTTCACTGAGCACGGTCACCCAAATTCAGTTTCCGAACATAACCGTTGGAGCTATTCAGTATTTACTTCACTGTAAGGCATGGCAGAAGCTAGTCCCATGTGAAACAGAAGCACAGTACCTCCCTGGATTTGTCCCTAAACTAGCAAAAGGGTAAGGCAATGTGATCCTGTCAGAGAGGGGGAGGAGGCAGCATCATAGTTGGGTAAGGATCACTTGGTAGTCAGTTATTCTGGTGTAGCAGTAATGAGTCTCCATCCACTGTGCTAGGTCTCCTTTTTACACAGCTGATAAATTTGGAGAGTGTCAGCATGCTGCTAGGCAGGACAACTCTAGAGGTCCTTTGGAGCCATATGCCATCTAGACAGGTTGCGTTTTCCTTAGCTGTGACCAGTCTGCACCTTGTGTTTGGCAGGAGATACTGTCACTAGAGAATAAAAGCAGCATTAACTCATCATCCAGGTAACTGAGGGGGTGGGGGTAATCCAGCTGTTATGCAGATGTTGAACGAGAATGCTCTGGATGTGTCAGTTTGGACAGCAGTCGATGACAGCTATGAAAGCAAAAGCTTGGAAAATGCTGACTGAAAATGCATAGAGCGCTCTTCATGTACTGAAGTTCTCCATTCCTTCTGGCTTCCTATTTGGATGCCATGTTTTGACAGAGGCAGGATCACATGGAAGGAGGAGCTCTTCTCTCCTGCCTGAACAGGGACTGTGCTTTAACAAAGGAAAGACTCCCGAAAGAGCAGCTCAGACTTGTTGTGGGAGCAGCTCCCAAAAACACAAGGCTGAGTCTGCACTACATCTTCAGCAAAGGGTTCTGAGTGCTGTATCAGCTAGTTTGCTGCTGACAATCTAACTAGCTCTTCTAAAGCTAGGCTTAAAGCTCACTCAGATATATCTCAGTTAAGCTGCAGCAACCACAGTGGAGATATATCCTATCACCACTCTGATTAGAACTTGTTCCATCCTCAGTTTTCCAGGACAATTACCTCATGCTGGAAGCTTTATATTTAATCCAAAATAAAGCATGAGCCTTGATTCTCTGGACTGACATTGCCATTACCACGGTATTAGCACCCACAGAAGAGAAGTCAGTCAGACACTGTAGAATGAGGAGCCAGGCTCTCCTTTTCAAATCTGAGTGAAAACCCATGCTATTTCACTGCATTATTCAGGCGCCTTTTCATCTTGTGGCTCTGGTCTCCCTACTTCCCTTCTGTGTTCCTGTCTTTCCTTAAGTCATGAGACATTGTTGCCAAAGGACTACTCCACAGCACTAACTTCTGCCCCAGAAAACTATGGCGCATCTGACTCTCTCCAGAAAGCCCAGGCAGCACAGCAGATTCATTTGGGTTGGCAGGCACTATGCAGCCATGATGAGCACAGCTGAGCAGCTCGCTAGCAGAGAAATCCATGCCTGCTTATGTTCACAGCAGCTAAAAGACAGTGCCTTGTTGTGCAAAGAGACTAATAGAATGTCTAATAGAGGATTGTGGTCTGGTATTGAACTGCTGAAGGAAGGTAGGAAATGATTTGTCCATAGTGAGAAGTGTTTGAACTGAATGATTAGAGCTTCCTGTGCACCATGTAACATGAAGTCTTGGGGTGGTGAAATGCAGAGCTGCACTGTGAAAATACCTCAGAAAGGACAGCTGTAGCCACAAGAGCGTTTTATTGTTAAGCCATCCCTCGCCTGTTCCTCCGCATACATCAATAACAACTGCCAAGCTGGTGCCCCAGTGAACAAAGCAAAAGTAGTGAAACAAAGTCCCAGAAACCTCTGTGCTAGCTAGACCCTCAACTGGACGTAACCAGGATACTAAGAATGCATGAGTAGTGTCTGAGACCAATAGGTTGCTTCCATCTCTGGTTAGATCATTTTTCACCCTGCCAGCTCATTCTCAGATGATCTTAGCAGCCTCCACAGATGGAAACAAAGAATTTGTCCTTTCTTTCACCAGCCCTGAACCAGTAGTTTTCAGTGGGAATAGAGAGAGAGAAAGGGAGGAAAAACAAAGGCAGTTACTTGACTGCTGAGATTTATCTTCATGGTAGGTTTAAATAGAAGAGCTTAAGCACAAGAAATGAGAGCTTAATGGGAAATAGGAAACAATGAGTCCCCCCTTCCTTTTCCCAAAATACTTATTTGGACCTGAGCCTAAAAACACCTGTGTCTTGACTCAACTAGACTTTGGGCCAGACCACTCATTTCCACTAAAGTCAGCGTGAAGCAATGCAGAAAGATGAGAGCACTCAGCAGCTACTGCATGGGTGTCAGTGAGAGAGCAGAGCTGCCTATTACTTGATTTGGCACACAATGAAGTGCACTCATTCCACCTTGGCAGAAGAGCTTCCAGCAGTCTTTCTAGTTGGTGCAAATTGAAGTAATCTTGTGGCTTCTTTCATTTGGCTTGATGCCATTGTGAATTCCAAGAATTTCAGTACAGCCACCTTTTACCTGTGCTGCACGTTTGCTTCCCTTGGTGCGAATCAGTATTTCGACTGCAGGCTCAGATTGACCTCCCCTGCTGGGCAGGGTAAATTAGGACTGCAGTCATTCCATACTGATTTTGTGGTTTATGGGGTGAGGTGGGCACTTCAGGAGAAGGCTTTGTCCGCCTAAAACCAGATCCGCCTTGTGTGGCACTTTGCGTGACTACAAAGGGAGCATAGGACAAATAGGTTTCTCTGATTCTTCAGTAAAGTGCCTAAAGTCAGGCTGATGAGTGAGCTTTAGCCTGTGAAGATGTTGACCTGCCTTAGACCTGTGAAAATATGTTAGAAAAACTGTACTTCTGTTATGTTTCTTTTCCTGTTACATAGTGTGCAATTCTGAGACTGGCTTCCTGTCGGAAAAAAACTACTGCTAAAAAGCCTGTATCTGCAGTCTTTTCTAATTGGGCAGTTGAGTCACATAAATGAGTGGTTGGAAAAATTAAACTCCTGTGTAACTGCGTGTGTTTTCCCTTTTGCTCCTGTGGCGTTTCACACCACAGCATGCTTTTCGCCTCTGCTGCTGTCCAAGACCTCATCCTCTTGCTGTGTTAACTCAGGGCAGAAGGAAAATCAAGAAAGATTTCACTAGACCTCAGCAAAGGTGTTGGGGGGGGAGGGGGATGTTGCATTTGATTTTAATTTTGTTGCATTTATAATTTTGCTCTAGCAAGGAGATACTTCTGAGTGTTGCCAGAATGTACTCTTTCCTTACCACCAATTCATCTCATTTAAAAAGAGATACACCAGTGGATAACCTCGATCTCTAAACTGTGCCATTTTGGTGATTATTCTACAGGAAAGTCCCAGTAGAAGACAAATCCGAAGTGCAAGCATCGGAAACTAAGACACCTCCAGCAGAAGTCAAGACGGTCCCCAATGAAGCCACACAAACAAATGAAAATGAGAGCAAAGCATGATTAGCAACAGATGGAAACAAATGACAGAACAACTTCACCGGAGCATTTAAAACACAAAACACACATCTCATTCCTCTAGTGTCTTTTGCCTTTTTTTAAAAAAACAAACAAAACAGAAAATGCATTAAGGGGGGAGGGGAATCTCTCTTTTTCTTTTTTTTTTTTTTTAATTTCTAGAAAGGTTCTATTTGTTGTGCACTTGCTTTTAAGGAGTAATACATTTTAAAAACAGGGTTAAACCCACAACCAAATCAGGGCTCAGCTGACCCTGTGTATATTAAAATAAGCAAAACTGCAAATACCAGTTACAGCATGGTTAGGAAGCTCAAAGTCGACTAATCTCAGACAAAAAGAAAGAAAAAAAAGACCCTTTTCTTTCCTTGGTTAGTATAGTAGATATAACCACTTGTACTACTTAGTACAGCTGGTACTTAATGAACAAAGTTCACAATTTATTTTTATACTTTTCATTGAAGTTTGAAATATGTAAAGCCTCATAAATAAGTTATAATTTCTGTTCACCTTGTATTTGTTCAGTATGCAAAGTGTCTTGTGCTCTTTGTGACTGAATCTTGTTCTCCATGTTAGACATTTGGTGGTTTTGGGGTTTTTTTGGTTTGGTTGCTTTTTTTTTTTTTTTTTTAGGAAGAATGCCAAAATTGCAGCTTCGGGGATATATTTCAATTTGCAGTATTCAGACTCTACATTTCTTTAAATTTTATGTTAATTTTTTTGCCAACTTTTGTTCTTTCCAGTGTTTACAATTGACAATTTTTTTTAACTTTTGTTGTGTTTAAATGTATGTGTAAAATAGCTGCCTTTTTTAAGTAAATACGGTCTATAGATACTAGATTAGTAGCATGCTTGCTTTGCAAAGGGAGACATTTTAAAATATGGATGTTTACAGTAGTTGTTTCCCCATCATCTTTTTTTAATTATGATGATTATTATTATTATTATTATTATTTCTTACTGGAGTAAGAAGAAAAGTAATGCTGCTTTTTTTCTATTTTTCTTTTTTTTTTTTTTTTTTGTGGGTATTCAAACCACTTGTCATAAATCAAGGTCTCTATCCAGCAATCCACACAAACACACCCTTAACTTTGAACAGAAGAGCTGCTGGTGAGAGTCCTTGTATGCTTAAAGTTAGCAAAAGTTTAAGTCCCTTGCTGGACTTGGGCCTGACTGCATAAGAGAAATATAGTCTCTACTTTTCTAAGACATTTTACCCTTTCCTTCATGGAACTCTCCCAGAGCTTTGACAAGCAGAAGGGAGATTGTACAGTTAGGGCTGGTCTGGTCTAGTCTCAGGTGTCTGACTGTATCAATTCCCCCCTAGTAAGTCAGTTGATACCATTTACTTTGACCCTAGAAAGCAGATATACAAGGAAAGCACTCGTGAACTTCAGAAAAATAATGCCGCCTTTTGAGAAGTGGTACACCCAAAAAGGAGTGTCCTTCCTTCACGTGGCCCAAATTCATGAGCACAAGGGTCATGCAGCATACAAGACCCCTCCTGAAAATGCAGCTCTGTTGCGTGTGTTGAGTCATCTCTATGTGCTCTGCAGAACCAAAGCCTCAAAGGTGAGATTAAAAGCTTGGAAATTAATGCAAGGACTCACTGATTTCACTGATCTTTGGATCATGAATCCATGGATCATTTTCTGATAGTCAGAAAAGGAGGTTGATGTAGAATGCACGTTGTCATTATGTGTGGGGAGCTTATCAGTAACAGTCATCATTTGGAGTCACAGAGAACCCTGAGATTTTGGGGGGAGGAAGGAGGCTAGAGCAAGGGAAAAGTGGAGGTATGCAGAAGACCAGCCCATTGTATAGAGATGTTCCTTCTTTCAGGAGTTTTGGGAGTTGGTGGGTTTTTTTCTCTTTTTCTCTCCTTCTCTCTCTCTCTCTTTTTTTTTTTTTTTTTTAATTCTACTTTAGATCTGCAAGCTTGTGCACTGTGGATGCGTTCTTTTTTTTTTTTTTTTTTAATTCTACTTTAGATCTGCAAGCTTGTGCACTGTGGATGCGTGACTATTTTAGTGTGAAACGTGTTTTTTGTCATAGTATTGAAATAAATAATAAAAGCTTCAACATAGTTTGGATGTGGAAGGTGTAGCGGATAGTTCAGATTTGAAAAAATTATTCAGGAAAAAAAATTAGAACAACTCTTACAAGGAACAGAAGCCTTTAAATGAAAAATGAAACTGAGCTGACTCTGGCATCCATTCTGTTGTGCTAAGGTTACGAACAGAAGGATGATGTGGGGCAGGGCGCCTGTAGTTTGGCCCAGATACATTGAGGCACTCTCGTCAGTGTATTCTAATTATGCAGTCTTTAACAGTGGCATCACTAGATTATAATTTCAAACTGTGAAAAATAATGGTCTTGTCATTTGCTAAGTGTGGGGTTTTTTGCATTTTTTTCCCTCAGCTTCTGGGGATGGAAATGGAGGATGACTGTATATACAGGCACAGACACTCATGCAATACCCATCCTGAACAGGCCAGAGAGCGGGCTGGGTTTTCAGTTCAAAGCCTTGTGTCAAATTTCACCCTTGCTTGACCCATCACAGCAGTGTTGGTGCAACTAAAGGGAAATTTGGCCCCTGCTCCCTAGGAATTTTTTTTTCTAAGAAAGCAGTCCATAAATGTGGCACAGAAAGCTATGATAGTCTATATTTGGGGAAAGTCCTTGGGACAGCAAAGGACTAGTGGGCAGACAGTGCATACCTCTATTTCTGGGGATGGTCACTACAATTTGTTGATTGTTGCTGTGAACTTGTTGACTTGTTTTGTCAACTCTGTGTTATACGTCATGAGTTATTACCCACTGAGAGCTGAGCAGCAGGTAGGAAACAAATGCTGCAAAATGCTAGTAACCAGAAACATCTCCAGTGGCACTGGTCACTATCTGCCAGGTGAAAACTGTGGTAACATTTATCTGAATTGGCATTTCTTTCTTAAAAGGTAACCAGCTCGAGGCCCGATCCAACACCCAGCCACTTCATTAGAAAGTACTCTGCTGACTGCAGTGGGTTTGTGTCACGATTCATGGAGTTATTGCAAAGCAGAAGTGAACCCTGTGGTTGCCTGTACACTGGGAGTGTTCATCCAACTCCTTTTTAATGCCCACCTGACACCTCCCTTGTAGGTTAACTCTCAAGAATGTTTTTATACTTGCCCTTAATGGAGAATAATTTGTTTTAGTTTAGAAATATCCCACTTCCAAAATAGCTTAGGCTTCATTGCTTTTATTTAAACCTTTGAAGAGGGACCAACCTGATGCCGCTTACGCTGTATATGTTTATATATGTATCCATGCCATACATATATATATCTATATGGCAGCTCAGACTGATCAGCTTCTAGTTGTGATTACATTTCATGCTGCACCATACGTAAGATGATAATAGTGCATCCAGTTGTTCAGCTTTTAGAGTGGAGTTTTATTTTCACACTTTTCTATGGAGCCTTCAAATCCCAGATTTTCACACTAGGCTGTTTTGATAGTTGTTCTCAGACCCTCCATTGACATCCTTACCCAGCATTCCCTATTTTGGGGGGCCTTCTATCTTGTTAAAAAAACAAAAAAACAAAAAATCTTTTTACCGAGTGAAACATAATTCCACCTTTATTCCCATTCTCACCGGTGTAAATACTGATACTAACTGAGGATTTTGACTTTGCATTCTGTCAGAATACTGTGTTCAAATAAAAATTACAAAAAAAAGCTTATGCCTAAATGCTGCCTTTCTTTACATAGTCGACTACGTCCTGTGTCCAGATGTGGGCTGCCAGGCCTGTAGTTGCATGTGTGCTTGACTCATAAAGAGCAGTCCTATTTTGGCATACCCACAGCATGAGGTAAGAAGGTGCCTGAGGCTCTAGGTGGTAGGTATGCAGGGAACGCCAACTATGCTCAGTCATGTCGGGGCAGCAGTCCATACTGCATGATTCAAGCTGGTACCTAGCAAACTCGTGATGTGCACAAGGAGTACCCAACAGCACATGACTCCACTGATCAGTTATTCAAGTGGTGTGAACTGGTGAAGAATTTCTTGATAAAATAATATCCTATGGAAAAATGGCTGTCTGAAATACTGAGCATTTGCTGTGCTCTCTGGTTCTCACGACCTGAATACTTCGTTCTGCATAGACAATTCTTTTTTCTAAGTCCCAGCCCCAGAGACAAAAAGGTGGCTATCCAGTGGCCACACTGTGCTTCCACTTGGATGGCAATGTGAGTTTATGGTCTAGTTTATGGTCTGTCTATGGCAATTTGAGTTTATGGTCTAACCTTCCACTGTTTATGCTTTGCCAGAGCAGCTTTGCATGGCACCTACTATGGATAATTTCTGTCCATGTTTCAAATACTGATTACTCATCTGTGAACTTGCTTTTGCAGCATGGTGAGACGCACACTCACTTCTGGAATTCACAAGCAACGAGAGGGTGTTTCTGAATTCACCCACCTATTCAGATTTGTTCTCGCCAAGGAATTAAATGAGCCAGAGGGATTACTTGCAAGTCATGTTAAATACCAGACAAGTTTTATTCTAATTAAGCAAAGAGTTGCATTGTTGGCTGCAAAAATTAATTCATTGTTTAATCTCTTTTCAGCACTTCATAGCAGCTGACACACAATGATAGCCAAGCGCTTTTTCCCCTCTCTGCTTTTTGCCAGTTTCAAGGGATCCTATGGTCATGATAACCTCTCGTTGTCCACGTTGTAAGGACATTTTATCACTAACCCAATATCTGTGGCTGTGTTCGCATCCTGGCAGATTTTTGAGAGCGTGACACATTTTGACAGACTCTATAATAAAGATTTGGAGAGATTCTGTTAGAGCCTGTTGGATTCTATTCAATTCTGTTAGATTGTCAGATTTTGTCACATTCTATTACATTCTATCCAACTCTGACAAATTCTAGTAGATTTGGAAAGTGTCAGATTGTGAGAGATTCTGTCAGATTATGTCTGATTCTGACATTATCTACTACAGTCTGTCCGATTCAGGCAGATTCCATGAGATTCTAGTACATTCTGTCAGATTCCGCTACAGTCTGTCAGATTCTGTCCGATTCTATTAGAGTCTGATTCTGAAAGATGTGACAGATGCTGACAGATTCTGTAAGATTCTGTAAGAATCTGACAGTATCTAATAAAAACAGACAGAATCAGAAAGAATCAGAAAGACTGTATTAGACTGACAAAATCTGGCAGATTCTAAAAGAATCAGACAGAATCTGTCAGAATCTAATACAATCTACACAGAATCGGACAGAATCTGAAAGAATCTATTAGACTCTGTCCAATTCTATTGGATTCTGTAAGATTCTGTAAGATTCTGTCTGATTCTATTGGATTCTGTCCGATTCTGTCAGACTCTGTCCAGTTCTGACAGATGCTGTCAGATGCTGTCGGGTTCTGTCAGATTCTGTCCAATTTTGACTGATTCTGACAGATTCTGACAGATTCTGGCAGATTCTGACTGATTCTATGAAATTCTGTCACATTCTGGCAGATTCTGCCCGATTTTGACTGATTCTGACAGATTCTGACTGTTTCTATGAAGTTCTGTCAGATTCTGGCAGATTCTGCCCGATTTTGACTGATTCTGACAGATTCTGACTGTTTCTATGAAGTTCTGTCAGATTCTGGCAGATTCTGCCCGATTTTGACTGATTCTGACAGATTCTGACTGTTTCTATGAAGTTCTGTCAGATTCTGGCAGATTCTGCCCGATTTTGACTGATTCTGACAGATTCTGACTGTTTCTATGAAGTTCTGTCAGATTCTGGCAGATTCTGCCCGATTTTGACTGATTCTGACAGATTCTGACTGTTTCTATGAAGTTCTGTCAGATTCTGGCAGATTCTGCCCGATTTTGACTGATTCTGACAGATTCTGACTGTTTCTATGAAGTTCTGTCAGATTCTGGCAGATTCTGCCCGATTTTGACTGATTCTGACAGATTCTGACTGTTTCTATGAAGTTCTGTCAGATTCTGGCAGATTCTGCCCGATTTTGACTGATTCTGACAGATTCTGACTGTTTCTATGAAGTTCTGTCAGATTCTGGCAGATTCTGCCCGATTTTGACTGATTCTGACAGATTCTGACTGTTTCTATGAAGTTCTGTCAGATTCTGGCAGATTCTGCCCGATTTTGACTGATTCTGACAGATTCTGACTGTTTCTATGAAGTTCTGTCAGATTCTGGCAGATTCTGCCCGATTTTGACTGATTCTGACAGATTCTGACTGTTTCTATGAAGTTCTGTCAGATTCTGGCAGATTCTGCCCGATTTTGACTGATTCTGACAGATTCTGACTGTTTCTATGAAGTTCTGTCAGATTCTGGCAGATTCTGCCCGATTTTGACTGATTCTGACAGATTCTGACTGTTTCTATGAAGTTCTGTCAGATTCTGGCAGATTCTGCCCGATTTTGACTGATTCTGACAGATTCTGACTGTTTCTATGAAGTTCTGTCAGATTCTGGCAGATTCTGCCCGATTTTGACTGATTCTGACAGATTCTGACTGTTTCTATGAAGTTCTGTCAGATTCTGGCAGATTCTGCCCGATTTTGACTGATTCTGACAGATTCTGACTGTTTCTATGAAGTTCTGTCAGATTCTGGCAGATTCTGCCCGATTTTGACTGATTCTGACAGATTCTGACTGTTTCTATGAAGTTCTGTCAGATTCTGGCAGATTCTGCCCGATTTTGACTGATTCTGACAGATTCTGACTGTTTCTATGAAGTTCTGTCAGATTCTGGCAGATTCTGCCCGATTTTGACTGATTCTGACAGATTCTGACTGTTTCTATGAAGTTCTGTCAGATTCTGGCAGATTCTGCCCGATTTTGACTGATTCTGACAGATTCTGACTGTTTCTATGAAGTTCTGTCAGATTCTGGCAGATTCTGCCCGATTTTGACAGATTCTGGCAGATTCTAT